TTATAATATACTATAAAATCTTACCAAAAATAACGTATACAATATACTGATTTAACGTATAAAATTTAACAAAAATTTGTATATATTATACTGATTAGACGTATAAATTCAGTATTTTTTTGCATACGGAAAAAGACGATTTTTAGTATCTAGTATACAGAAATATTTACGAATTTATTATACTGTTTTTCTATGTTTATTATACGTTTTTTAAACGTATTATTTCTGTATATTTTCCTTATACATATTATTTATAGGGATACAAATATAAAAGACTTACTCAAGACTTTGCACCAAATTTGCCATCTTTTTTCCAAAAACTTGTTCTACATTGCGATCATCAACAATGACTATGAGATTACTGTTTTTGTCATATCGAAAGATATCTAGCTGTAATGTTGATTTTGGCATAGATCTGCATGGAAACTCAACTAAAACATGAATGCATTTCTTTTTAACAACCACACTGCTGTTAATTTCATCGACTATCATAAGTTTCGCGATTTTTTTGTGAAGTTCCGCATACTTAGCAGTTTTGGATATATGGTAAGACTCAAAGCTTTTGTTATAATCCAAATCAAAGTCTTTGTTCTGATCAAGATGATCGCTTTCATCATCAATATTGGTTGCAGGTGGAGTTTCAATATGACTTTCTACCTGTAACGGTTCAGTAATGCTAATTTCAATGTATCTCTTCTTTGTCTTGGTCTTCAGTAAATTCCTTTAATGACAGCCTCGGTTTCTTACTCTGAACTCCACATTCTGTATCATTATTGGACCTCTTTTTTCTCTTTTTTCTTCCATGTACTGAAACTCCAAGCATATCTTGAGGGTTTGCTTCTTAACCTTACTCTTTATAACTAATTTGGTAGAAATAGTGGAATTTAAAGATAATAATACCACATTTCCAGATTCATCTATAAGTGATAGCAGAAGATCTAATCCTGCAACATAACCCGGTTGAATAGCATGATGATGGTACTTGGGTGATTGGCTGTATATGTCTTTAACGTAATTATACAATGAGATAGAATTTGACATATTTGTGTTCGTGATGAATCACATCTCAGGCGTAATCCATTCTGGAAAGACAAAATATGAATTGTTGGTCTACTTTGCAAGTTCTTCAATTATGGTTATTGCAAAAGCAGCATTGAGCTACCTACTGATTGATTGAGAACACTTATGATGACACAAAATATTCTCAACATAAATATCTATCAAAGTTTTGTCTCTTTGCAATAGAAAATTTTCAATGCTGTTAACAACTTAAGTTGAAACTGGTTAATTTTTAACCGGTTAATTAACTGGTTAAGACGTTTATCTTGTAAACCAGTTAAAGATTTTTTTTAACTAATTAAAATAACTAATGTTAACTCTGGCTGAAATTTAATTTTTGGGCAGAATTAAAATTTTTTTGCAATTACAAAATTTGCTAGTTTTGCCTAAATTTATAGTGCCGGCCTGAGTTAAATTTAACCAGTTAATTAACCAGTTAAAGAAATTTTTAACTGATTATTAACCAGTTAAGGATTTTTGAACCAGTTCCAACCTCTAAAGTAAGACTCAATTCCAGATTGATTTGGACTGTAGTTTCATAAGGATCACCTTGAGGGGTAAGGACAATGCTATCTGGTGACTTAGTAGGAAGAATTCCATATTGGAGAAGTCTAATAGCATGCTGGTAATTTGTTGTATAAAAAACTCGAATATCGATAATCACTTTTTCTGGATTGATTTATGGATCCAAAGACTTGGCAGTAGTACATAAATATGTTACTATCGTATTGCATATTTCCTCGTACCATAACGCAATAGTTTATAATATTTCTTTATCTTTTGATATATCTTACTTGGGTTGGTTGGTAAGCAATTTTATAAATGATGCACAGTTTCGGGGTCATCATTTGAGTATACTTCCTAAATAACAAAAGTTGAAGGGCTAGCTCTATCCATATTAATTATATTGTTGAGATTTCGCAAGACATTAGGTGTGAGATAAGGAAGTTTTAATACAACATGCACTGTTTGAGACGTACTATATTTTCTAACACTGGTGACTAGTGAAACTCCGCTTGACATATGCATATTATTGCCAGAAATAGTGTGTGTAATTGGAAAACCAGTAAGTATGTGAGTAGTATAGGCCTGCAAAAGATTCCATAAAATTTCACTAGTGGTACTTCCAAAATATCCTCCATATTCAGGTCGACAAAGAACTTGCGCATTATCTCAGAAAAGGAAAAGCTGTTCAATCTAAAGACATTCATTGATATATTACAGAAGTATATAAAGTCAATTATAGTTTTGACAGATCACGAAAGATAAGGATTAAATTTTTGAAGCCTTGAAGTTGTGCCAATAACCAATCCTTTGGTGTTTAGATTTTTTTTTGTACAAGCATTTTGATTAGTAGTAATCCACGTGAAAGAAGCGCTATATCTAGCTTGTAAAATGCTTTGTTCTGGAGTGGAATATTATTAATAGATGGCTTATTCGCTCTAATTTCTGAAAGCTCTCTATACAAATGGTTTTCATAGAATGCAGCTTGAAGAGAACAGTCCATATGTATTCCCCAACGTTCAGCAGAAATAGCGAATATTGTTGATGTTTTCCCCCTTTCTGAGACTTCGGAAAGCACAACAATGTCCTGTATGTAACTATCAAATCTTATCTTGAACCAAATCAACAGTTTCTCAAAATTGCAAATTGTGGTATAAGGGATTCTTATAGTTAATTTTAGAATTCACTTCATAAGAAGGAAGGCAAAGATCGATTTTCTTGAAATTCTCTCCAGTAGTACCATATAGTATAGGTGTTTTAAAAATTAAGGGGCTTTGATTTAGTTCAACATACAGGTTATCTGGAGTTTAGAATACAACGTTCTGTAGATGTTTCCAAATTATAATGAGCACATTAGCCAGTTCTTGAATAATGATATCCCGATCTAACTTGATATGAGGAAAAGTATTTTCTAGGTCATCTAGAGACAAGAATAAATGGTGAATGAATTTTTCAAAGAATAAGTAATACAACTGACAATGTTACAAACTTTCTATAACATTACGAAAACGTTCATCATAAGAGTCTGCATAGTTGGCAGGTAACAAATCGAAATGAAAGAAAGCAAAAAATAACTATTGTACAAATTTGATATTATTAGCAAATATGATAGTGAAAGATAAAAAAAATCAACACATTTACCAACTGCGAAAGCTACATTCTCCTTTTCATTTTTATTCTTCTTGAACTTCTGTAACATACAAAGTTAATTTGTGAGTAAAGATCCTTAACATAAGGAAGGTGCATAACTGATTCTTCCTGAATTAGCAGATCTTAATCAAAGAACCTTATAGTAAAAAAATGCCTGACATAACACTTTCGTGACTGAATACTCCTCTCCGTGATTGAAATGACAGGGTATAGCTTTCTCACACTATACTCGTTAACATTTTTATAAGAATATGAAAAAAACTAACCTCACGCTTTAAAGCTATTACTTTCCGCCCTTCTTTCGACTGGATTTAAATGTTTTATTAAAATATCTAGCTCATTACCGAAAAAACGGTGATATGAGCGCTTTGAAACATTAGAAAATTTCATTAAGTACAAGTTCCACATATTCTCTCCTCACTCTAAACACAGTCTCTTCCAGTACTCGGTATATTGTAGTTTACTCAGTACTTTTTTTCTGGCAACATCATTAAAAAGTAATAGGTTTAATCTTAAATATGTAATTCAAAGATGTGAAAAACTAAAAATCTTATAGAAGTCATGCGGTTATATGAAAGTAAATCACGCATAACGTTGTAAATTCATATCTGAAAAGCATAACAATCACAGTGAATTTCTCCAATCTTGAGTAGCAAATGGTGTTACATATAGTGCTGATCATTTTGCCAAGTGATTTCATATGTAATTTCATGCCTTTTTTTACTTCATTGATAAGCAAGTTGTGTAACTTTATTATACTTTTTTAAGATTCTTTTTATATGATTGTTCGTTGAGTTCGCGACTATTAGTTATCAAAAAAAAACTTGAACATACTCATTAACTTTTAGTAGATCTTACTTAAAAAACAGTCAATTTTGCTTTTAAACTTATAAATCTTATAATATATATTTTTTTTATATTAAAAATAAATATAAACCGTTTTTTTTTAAAAAAAATAAAGTATTATTTAACAAATAATGTCCTTGAATAAATTTCAACTTGTAATAACAAGTTAA